ATGAGATATACCATCTTTAATTGTCCATATATTGTGAGTCATTTAGAAGTACTAATTGCAAATCATGAGCATATTTATCAATATTCCAGTAGACAGTCTTTATGGTATATTAGATAACTTTATTATCATATACTAGTTTCAAGTCTGACCTAAAGTGAACACAGCTGTTAGTTAAGCCCTCATCCTAGCTATACAAAAACCACTTTTCCAACCACTCTGAACCATATTTTAAGTATCCCTGCATTCTTAATTATTACCCATAGTAGAAACTATTGAAGCTCTAATATATGATAGCCCAAGTCCACTCTAAAATAAAATGCTCTCATTATTTTATTTATTTCTATAATTAATTGATTTGTTAATATTCAGTTACTCTTAAGAATTTTATAAAATCTCATACCAGTATTGCCAAATGAGTTCCCACAAATACTTGAGCAATTATCTTTTGCATTATCAACCTCCTCCAGGAACTATTTCCAAATTCTCCACCAATTTGCTAACCTCTTTTTTCCGTTCTGAACAGGATGGCTACTATGTTCCTGTTTCCTCTGATATGAGTACAACTTGAGGGAAATATATTTGTAGGGGTATAATTGCAATACCTATAGCAGTTATTTTCTTCTCTATTTTCTGTACTCAGTTGTAAGATAAGAACTGTAGGATTCTATATGCCTTTATGAGAATTGGAAGATATTCCTTGCTATGATAAAATAAAATTCTATTTCAAAATTAAAATTTCAAACACCAACCAAATTGGACAATAACAAAGAGTTGTAACTTACCACTTTATTATCCAAGTGAAGAACTACAGTTCGACACCTTCAGAATATCATACCTGATTAGAAATTCGCTGGCTTGATTTGCATAGGTAGGAAATGATTTGGTGGTCAAGTGAGAAATGTGTTTGTGACGAGAAACAGATAGAAGAAAATAAATCAAAGACAAGTGCTCGATGATGGTTTCCTCTTATACAATACCTATTACCCTACCTTTGGACAAACAATAAATTTCATTGCAGCCTTCCGTTACCAAATATTATTCTACCCTAACTAATCTGCCCTACCAGCCCGTTTGACCCGCCATAGCTGGGTATCATATATCTAGCCATGACCGAATTATAATATTATTATTAAGGCCTCACCATCATTCGGAAAAAGAAAAAGAAAAAACACTAATCCTTCTTCGTAGTTTGTTGCCTCTGCCTTCGGAGAACCCCAATCCAATAAACCATCAAGACATTCCAGTCGTTTCCACAAAAAAATATAAAACAAAACAAAACAAAACAAAACCCGGAACACTATCCTATCCGAGAATGATAAAACAGATATCTATAGGGGGAACCCGTGGCCGTGCACATCAGATGAAGCGTTCGGAATACGAACAGCGAAACCTACTACCTTTTTCAATCCGAATCCAACCAGGACGAGAAACAAGCTAGTCTATCCCACGTATGATACCGCACTGTAGACAGCTCCCCAGATTTCCTCCCAATTACCCGAATAGGCATCTCTTCCGGATATTTTTCTTCGAAACCGACAGAGCGAAATGTCTAGCTGGACAGCTTACTGGCGCCGGGATAGCGGTAGACTGGGGATCCTGCACGCTATGTACTGTACATGTAACAGTACTTCGTAAATCTACTCCAAATTTGGAAATGGGAAGAAATGTTCCCTGAGGCAGCACAAGTTTCTCGCACTTGCTAGTCTATTATACCATTCCTGTAAGACATCAATGAAGCAGAGATAACCCAAAACACTTAGACTATCATCCCATGAGCACTTCCTCCCCAATCCAATCCCAGCTCCCCCAACGTCCAGCAACGATAGTGAAAAACACATCTTGCTGGAGCGGGGTGCCAATCGATAGATACACGTGATCACCTGATAACGGGATGAACGAGCGGGGGGGAGGAGGAAGAAAAAGTACGAATGATTCATAATGATACCAAGAGTACTCGTATCGTACAGTACGGCCGCCGCCGCCTCCGGATGAAGCAAGCGGGGAAGGCAGGGAAAATGTTCCTATAGGTTTACCACACACTTCAGCCCTCAGCTTAGACAGATCAGATAATATACAGACTATGTGTGTAAAGGTATCATACTGCAGGAAAGGAAAACCTTACTAAGAGGGGCAAACTACAAAGTCCTGTTTTTTTTTGTTTTTTTTGCAAAACGAGATTTTTTCCCAAGTCCTTTGGGGCACTGTGGTACCGTACTACGCTGTAACCTTTCCGCAAGTACCCGATTGGCTTTGTGATGATGTGACGGTGGTTGAACAAGCTAAATACGACCAATACTCGTCGACACACGCACTTCTAAATTTGTAGATCGTTATCTTCGCCACTTGTACGAGCACAGTTCAGTTCAGTACAGTACTCGTACAGTACAAGCCAATCGGTGGATTGAAATCCCCCCCCCCCCCCACTTCTCGGCTTGGAGTAACTATAGTCACTCAGTCAGTCAATCAGCCAGGCAGGCAAATCGCAGCTATCTCTCTCTCTCTCAGAGCTCACTCAGCTGAGACAAAACAAAACAGCCCATTATAAACCACGGTACGAGTGGGGACAATTACAAAATCCCAGCAGACTTCTCTTATTTCCAGCGCTGTAATCCATGGACGGGTATGTATGATGAGGGATTTGATTTAGTTTTACGGGTGGAAGACGTCGCTTTCGAAGGTGATCTATCTATCATATCATACTCTGTACAGTACAGTACTTCGTATTTCCAAACTTGAACCTTACCACGCGCCCCGCCACCGAGGAAGCGACATTGCCTGCTGAGGGATAAGACCGGAATAAGGACTACACCACCACCATATAACTCCGATAACCGGCGAGGTTCCTCTCCGCGAAATGTCCCATCCTAGAGGTTAGACTTGTTGGGTATGATGGATGGATGGATGGAGGAGGATGGGATTGGGAATGATCTGCTGAGGAATGTTTAGTTTAAAATCAAGCATGCAAGACGGCCCCGTTCGAGCCGACCGACGCACACACTACGGATAGCCAGAATTCATTCCTCATCTACGAGTAAACAAAAACCCCTTAATCCCTCTACCCCACCCCCATCTCATCAGCGGTCGGTTCAACGGAAGGCACATTTTTCATAGACTACCCTTGGAGCGAACCTCCGTGCCATAACAGTACAATACAGTTACAAATATACGATAATATAATAGTAAAGTACTCTGGGGGTATCGATATAAATCGGAAGAAGAAAAAAACCAAACCATTACAAACTTTTGCAATTATAGTATCATAATAATATCACAACTGTACAGTACCGGTGAGTCGAGATCCGCGCACCTAAATTAAATTAACTTTGTCATTCCCATCTGGGGCTGTACAAAGCAGTACTCGTACTTGTAAGGTATGGTATGGTCACATTGTGGATAATTGAATTGAAACCCTAGTAGAGTAGCACAACAACACCCTTCACATCCTTTACCGGTTATTGCGATTGCGATTGCGACTCACGCGAGGTTTTCCACGCTTGACTTGATTGTCTGGCTGGCTGGCTGGCTGGCTGGCTGGCTGGCATGGATCACCTTACGATCCCCGATCGTTTAGACTAGCACGGCTGCGGTGCCGGAGGGAGGAGGAGGAGAGATATGTGTGGAAGGCACTCTATCGCGTAAAGGGTAAGCGGTGCATAACTAGACTACCGTTTTAGAGTACGAGTACAGTACCGTATGTAGAAAGATAAAAAAATAAATAAAAATAAACAAAAAAAGTCGGTTCACGGTATCGCGGAAGAAAGAAGACACTTTTGTACGTACAAGTACTGTACTGTACCTCACTCAGCCCTCTTCCTTCTTCTTCCATGACTACAGTACACCCCCTCCTCTGTCATACAAATACTGTACGAGTACAGTACTTGCTTGCAGTGAATGTCGTACTTGTACCACCACGACCCGGAGACCGCGCCACCTTGTTGGTGCTTACCTTACAGTACGAAGTACATGTACTGTACGTCCTATCTGTCTGTCTCTCCTTGCAACGCTAACCCTGTAAAACAGTACGGGACAGTACATTACAGTAACCTCCGCCCGGGCTACCTACTCGAGTATCATACATACATGCGTACATACATACATACATACATACATACAGTACGTTTATTTATTTATTTATTTATTTATTTATTTATTTATTTGAGGGGGAAAAAACCAAGGGTAGTCTATCCATAACTAATCACAGAAACAACAACACACAGATGGAGCTGACATTGAACATTTCATCTCTCTACGATAGGGTACAGTATGAGAGTACGAGTAGAGAGTCAATTATCTATCTTACGCACCGCAGCCTACAAGTACAGTACTGTACTGTACTCGTATAGTACAGTACAGCCACGGGATTCAATTTCCTCGTACATAACGTCACCCCTCACCTCACACCCACAGCCCCACCGGCAATTCCTAAATTTAACCGGGAAAGGATCTTTTAAACTTGGCCACGCGGGTACTGTAACTTTATCGGACAGCCTCAATTTATGATTTAAAATAATGAAAATAAAAATAAAAAACACATGGTTCATGGAGCCCCCCCCATACCTATTCCTCATCCTTCCATAGTGTGGTGTATGTTCCTTTTTTATTGTTTCTACTTACATACAGTGCAATTGCAGGGGCGCACCACCCCACGCTTGGAGCTTACTGTACCTCGTCGCGCTCATGGCGGAGCAGGGATGGTCTGTATAAAACGGCTATTATGGCTCAGGGAGGATCCCGAGTGATTGCTTATGATGCGTGGTCCGGGGAAGTTTAATTGCCGCGTCATGGGCTGGGCCTGTAATTCCTGGATTGACGCGCTTTTCGGGTAGGTGGGTATCCATCCGTGTGGGTATGGCGGCTGATAGGTTTGAGGCGGGAGCCAGAGTGAGTAAGTAGTGTGCTGAGAAGGTTGCATACAGTCTAGAACAATGCATGCTCTATTATCGTGTTTCATTTTGGTACAAAATCAACCAACCATTGGGAACATGTACAGTACCGTATGGTAATTCACAATAAAATATCATAATGCTTTGACCCTCATCATACATGCCATATTAATGTCCCAAATGAAAAAAACCAATCGAGGAAAGGCCAAACAAGTACCCTCCTCCCCCCATACCCAACAAATTCCTGCACCGAAAACTTTGTAACCCATAAGAAAATAGAAAGGAAAAAAAAAAACAGCTTTACAAATTACCACGCTCAGCTTGATCCCTCTCAATGGCCTCGAAAAGGCTCCTAAAGTTCCCAGCGCCAAATCCATTGAAATTACACCTCTGGATGATCTCAATAAACACCGTCGGCCGGTCCATCAGCGGCTTGGTGAAAAGTTGTAAAAGATATCCGCCCTCGTCAAAGTCAATGAGAATGCCCAACTCCTTGAGTAATTCGGTGTCCTCCTTGACGCGCACGCTGCTCTTGCTGAGCCGCACTTTCATCTGCTTGTAATACGAGTCAGGGATCGTGATGAACTCGACGCCGCGCGCTCTCAAGTTTGATACGGCGGCGATGATGTTTGAGGTTCGCAGAGCAATGTGCTGAACACCCGAGCCAGAGTAGAAGTCGACGTATTCCTCGATCTGGCTCTTGCGTTTCCCATGGGCGGGCTCGTTGATGGGCATTTTTACGAGTTCGTTGGGGGAGGCCATGACAACAGATTTTAGTGCTGAGTATTCGGTGCAGACGGTCTTGTCATCCACGGACCAGAAACGGTGGAAACCGAGGGCTTTCTCGTAGCTGTTTGAGCTGTTAGTAGATGCTGCTACGAAGGAATAGGTTCAAGGGCAAGGGGAGGAACATACTAGTCGCAAACGTTGTCCATCTCACCCCAATCCTGGTTACCGACACAATGATCGATAGCATCCAAGTGAACCGCAGGCAAGATATTGTCCAGAGGATCCTGGCGAGCAGCAGCCCGTCGAAACCCAGGCATGAACACGCCGGAATACCCTCCCCGTTGAACAAGTGTGTGCGTGGTATCACCATATGTCGCCACAGTAGCAACAATCACTTCCCCATCCTCATCGCTCAAAACCTCAGGAGCCTTGACCCCCCGAGCACCGTTCTTTATAGCACTCTCGTAGACTTTCCTAACATCATCCACTTCGAAGGACACATCCTTTACAGCGTCCCCATGTGTGGAGAGATGCTCGTACATCTCCTTCAGAATCTCTACGTCTGCCGTCGTGAGTCCCGGTGTCGAAGGAGAGCGAAGCGGTGATGTGAGGACGAAGGTGACGCCCCCGTTCGAGACTACGTGCGAAGCTACGATTCTAGAACCGGTTTCCAGGGCCTTGTAGGCGAGAGGTTGGAAGCCCATTCGGGAAATGTAGTATGATGCTGCTTGTTTGGCGTTGCCCACATACCTGTATTTTGTTTTAATTTTATCCCGTTTGACACTCGAAACCTCCTAGTGGGAGGGGTGTATGTGAGAGGATGGGAGTGTTTACCAGTGTACGTGGTCATAGCCCCTATAACCTGTCGTCACCAAGGCAGCGGCAGGTGATTGTACACCATCCAGAGGTAGTGTCTGACCGCTGGAAGTCAGGATAGTAGGACCAGGTGGTGAGGAGGAGAGGGCGGATGGAGGCATGTTATGTTAGGTTGATTATTTTATTCCTCAATTACTTGCTCAATTCAAAGTATATGGAGAGAGTGTGCGGGGACGGAAAGCGAGAGAGAGTGTGTGTGAGAGATCCCCTCGATTTTTGTGGGCAAGGGGAAACGACGTGATGGTTGATGATGGAGTTTTAAGTTTGATCAATGGAGGAAGAAAGGGAAGACGGTGGGATCCATGAATTTATATCCGCCACCACAACAACCATATTATTCTACAAACAGGAAATTCATCCCAGGGTAGATGGGACAACCTTCCACGGCAGCTTCTTCTCCGCCCCCTCACACAGAGGTTCTTCTTTCCATCTTGCGAAAGCTTCCACAGGCGATGGTAGTTAGGTGGTGGTCGGAGGAAAGTCCAAATTTTGATATGGGTGTCGGGATACGGACGGCTAAACATGGATACTTGCGGCCACACATACCCAATAACCCGGCAAGCGGGTGACGGTTAGGGGAGGCCAAGCAAGGGATCCTATCATAGGCTGGCCAGTTGATTCTACAAACCCCTGCCAGATGCTCTCTCCTGAAAGCGTGGTCGCCACCCTGGAATGACGTTGAGCATAATAATATGAAAGCAAGAGCATCTCTCGAGATGAGAAGAAGAAGATCATAACCTCCTGCCTCACCTGGCTCCTCTCCACGAAATTCCTCATCCTATAGACTAGCACAGTGCGTCAACATTCTCAGCCTCCACCCGCCCTTCCATACCATAACATAGCGTACAGTACACACAATGTCTGCTCTCACAATTAACGACTCTACCGTTCTCACACAGCTCTTTGACCCAGAGTCTGCCCCATCGTCCGCATCACCAAGCATAGACGCTTCACTTCCTACCGATCCGTACACACCCTTCGACCTTCTCCAGACCCTCAAGCAAACGGAGTTGAAGGCGATCAAGCTTGCAGAATCTTCACCCACATCTCTACCAGAATCTCGCAAGATCCTGGAGGAGCTAACCACTGCCCATCCGACCTATGCATCGGCGCACAACAATCTCGCACAGGTCTTGCGAATGCTCTCCGTGCCCGCAACCGAGATCCTTCCCCACCTAAACGAAGCCATCAAACTATCCTCCCCATCAACACCGACTTCGTCACTCTCCCCCTCGCAGGCAAAGATACTAAGTCAGGCTTATACACAACGGGCCGCGATATATTACTCCATGTTTAAGCAAGGTGGAAGCGAGGATATGGAGGCAGCGGCTTCTAGGGATTTCTTCGAAGGTGGCCGTTACGGAAATGGCATTGCTCGGGAAATGGCGGTTCGGACAAATCCTTACGCTAGACTTTGCGGGGCGATCGTCAAGGAATCTATGAAGAATGAGTACGGGGAGTGCCTGTAGAATCCTTTTTAGATTCTTTATTCACGCGGTGCCGGTACTTGTAAGATGAGACGTCTTTTTTTACTTTTTCTACTTCTTTTTTCTTTTCAACAGGAAATATATGGGATGCCGAAACAACGAGTTTGTACTGAATGCCCGATAACAGAAAAGTTAAAAAAAAAAAAAAAAAAAAAAAACTAAATGATGTTGAGTAACCTCCTTGTCCCAAACTACAGATGGGTATATTGAGACAATCTTCGCCATTTGAGCCCCTCTCTATCGGTGTTCCCCCCAGCACTGCCGTACCCTGACTCATCATACCATACGATGCGTCCATCCGCATACCAGTAGCACAAACTCCAGGTTTCAGCTGCCACAAAATATATCTTACCTCATGGCGCAAGTATCTCCGATAAGCTTCCCTCCCTGGTGTTTGGTTTGCGCATAGGCCAGCAGAACATCAAATAAGCGATTCGGGGTATAACGGGAATCATTTCAAATCTGCTTCGTGAAATTCAAAAATTGAATTGACTGATCAGATAGAACGGTGAGGAATGTTGAAAGTACCGGTATGACAGCTTAAATTGAAAGTGGTACCTCGTACACCTGCCTGTATCTGGTACACCTGTATCCCTAGGTCGGAATACGACCATAGCCTTGAATAGCGAGAACGCAAAACTTTGTAAAGTAAAACATCCTGGCATTGTAGTAGTCATTCATTGAATGATCTACTAGGATGTCGAGCCTCAAAAAACTCCCATTGTGGCAGGAGCATTCAACCAACATGGGCAATCCACTCCCGCACTCTTGCTTGTCTCGTCTGTCGTCGTATCAGTTTTCCGTATTTTCTTTTCTTTCTAAATCTGTGAGGTGTCGATTTTATATCTGGTCGCTCAGCATCGGGAGCGGCTGATTGATGCAAGATACTGGTAACGTAGGCGGAGTTGGATCCGAAAAGGGGGCTTGATTTGACATGACACCGCAAAAACAGGTGGCAGCACACAGCTCAAAAGCACGTTCAGGATCGTTTCTCGATGGCGATATATCGGCACGGTGACCAGAGAGAGACAGAGTGTGCCAGTGCAAGGCTCCGAATATGCCGGGCCCGGCGAACACTGCGTGAATGGTGATGATGCAGAGTATGCTTGTCTCTTCTTTTCTTCTTTTGCACTTTAATGGCCAAGCTACGCCTCGCGACTGGCGACTGCCCCTAATTACCCCATAAAAATTAGCTCCCCCGGTGGATCATTGCGGTAGCCTATCGTTCCCCGCAGAATGGTAAATTTATCACGACTTCTCACTCAACCCTTCGCTTTGCATCGGTAAGGGAAGGAATGGCCCCAGCATCTTACACGTAAACCCCGAAAGAAATGGAAATGGAAAACGCTACATGCCGACAACATATAAGTTAGCCCCGCGATAAGATGTGCGGTCGATAGCCCCACAAGTGCACTGCTACTGTAACGTGCACCAATTTCCTTTCTTCGTCTCCTCGGCCAATGCGCTTACAAGATTTATATAAGAGGAATGAGGAAAGCGGGGGAATCAGTGTATGTACTGTACAGTACAGTTGGTCCTTTGTTGGACCCCATCCGATGCCATGATCGGACATCCTAAAAATTGCATTCCAAAAGCCGTTGCTACCCGCGGCGTATTATGTGTCCGCTCCTCAGCCTTCGTTGATAGTAAGAGAGAAAGCGCGGATACAGTTCGGATATACCATTAAAGGAAGGGGTTCCGCCTGCCTGGTGTCACTACTTAAACCCCCACTCCGCCTTCCTGGTAACTTACAGCCCTAAAGCTTTTGTAAGCGGCAATTATGGCAATCTTTAAGAGCTCGATCCAGTCTCTGGATCGTATACCCATCACCATAGACATTATGACTTTTCTGGACCTAGCCAGGTTACTGTTTACATCTTTTGCCGTGTATATCTCATCCTTGGTGGTTTACCGCTTGTTCTTCCATCCTCTCGCGAGGATCCCGGGACCCTTTTTGGCCAAGATTACCGATTGGTATTACACGCTCTCTCCTTATTTCCTTACATCCTTCCCCCGGTCTTTAGCCGTTAATGAGATGTGAGTAGGTACACCGTCTACCACGCTTACCGCGGAGACAGACACCTGGCGCTTTACAGGTCCCACGAGAAATATGGCCCCGTCATCCGCTTCGCTCCGAACCTGATATCCTTCAACTCAGCCTCATCGCTAAAGGCGATATACGGTCACACAGCGCTTAGTCGATCCCTTCAAAAGTCGCAATTCTACTCTGCATTCCCGGCCGTAAAGGGCGTGCACAACACCCACAATGCAATCTCCAAAGCCGAGCACGGCCGTAAGCGCCGTGTTCTCTCTGCAGCTTTCTCCGACGCAGCCTTGAAGAGCATGGAGGATCTGGTCCTGAGCAACATCGATGTATTCTCCGCCAAAGTCAACGACGCCTTCAAGCACGGTGTTAGCGTCGATATAGGTGATTTGTTCAGTTGGCTCACTTTCGATGTCATGGGTGAGCTCTGTTTTGGCCGGAGCTTTGGGATGTTGACGGAGGAGACGACTCGGTTTGTTACTAATCTGATTAGTCAGGCGGCGCATAATCATTACATTGTTGGTTCTCTACGAGTTCATGTTTCTATCTATCGAGCTTCGCTAATGGTTGGGGGAAACAGAATGGGAATTATCTGCCATTGACTACGTTGAAGCTATCCAAAATCCTCTTCCCCACAATCTCCCGTGACCGTTGGAAATTCATCGAGCATTCCCGAGCCTACGCAGATGAACGTATGAGTCTCGGGAGAGGTTACAAGAAGGATTTTTTCTACTATCTCCTCGACGCCAAGGATCCGGAAACTGGTGAAGGTTTCGAAACTAAGGAACTGTGGGGTGAAGCCAATGTTCTCATGATTGCCGGTTGGCTCCCTCCTGCACCCATTATCAATAGGCGCAAACTGATTTGAATGTGATGCCCAGGCTCCGATACGACTGCAACCGCCATGTCCGCAGCAATGTTCTACCTCTGCCGCAACCCGCAAACGCTCCAGACGCTGAAGAATGAAATACGCAGCACGTTCACCGACAAGGAGCAAATTATCGGCGGAAAAGAGCTCAACGATTGCCACTACCTAAAAGCCTGCATCGACGAGGCCATGCGTCTAGCACCCCCAGTTCCAGGGCTCCTCCCTCGTGAGGTTATTGCCAAGGGAGGCATAGAAATTGACGGGCTTTACATTCCGGAAGGAGTATGTCCCATCCTTCTCTCCCAAGAGCGAGAAATCTAACTATGAATGAAAAAGACTGTAGTAGGAACCCCAATCTACACCCTTCACCACAATCCCGCTTACTTCCCTGACGCATTCTCATTCAAGCCGGAGCGCTGGTTATCTACTTGCACTTCAGAGGAAGAAGCTGAAGCTGCACGGTCCGCCTTCACACCTTTCTCCATCGGCCCAAGAGGATGTATTGGAAAGAGCGTGGCGTACATGGAGCTTAGACTTACCCTCGCTAGATTGCTCTTTGAGTACGATTGCGAGGAGGTTGAGACTGAAGGGAAGGGTGCACTTTGGAAAGAAGGGCATGCAATGGTTGATGGGGAGTACAGACTTATGGACCACTTCACGAGCCGGAAGGAGGGACCTGTTATGAGGTTTTCTAGGAGATAAGAGCGGGGCTTCTGATAGTGGGGGGTATATTATTTTTATTTCTGTGTTTACTGGGCCAGTACTAACCCACCCTATGTCATAATAGTTCCCAAAGGGGAAATGTAATCTCTTTCTCCAGATTGTCGAAAGTAGGATTGTGTGTCGCAGTGAGAAAGTTGTGGCAATTGTACAGTTGGTATTCAGATATTCGGTTTGCTAGTCTAATCCCAACAGTTACTATATTTCACCATGAAAATATTTCGCCAACCCAACCGTATCAAGTAGACCATTCCTACCGCCTAGTAAACCTCAGAATATCAAAGAAAAGAAAAACACCCAAAACTCCCCCCAAACACCCCGTGATACCAAACCAACCTACCACCAAAAGTGCTCATCCCCACCCCCCAATAAACCAGACCGCCACCCCCGACGCAGCAATAGTCTACAGCATCACTTTCTCCTGTCCGTCATGAAAACAACAAACAATGGAAATGGCAACAGACCGATCGCCATCCAATCCTCCGTTTGTCGAGTGAGATTTCATGGTTGGTATGATACTACTCATGGCCGCGTGAGGTATGATACGATGTGTGTTTCTAGTTAGAGCGCACTGCGCGTCCGATCCTTCAGTTGGAGGAGTTGGAAGTGCCTCTTTCATTATTGGTTTATTTACAGGTTGGTTGGCGAGGGGTGGGTAGGTACGAGTACTTTTGTGATGATAGTATGTGAAGTAATTATTTTGTGAGTAGTATAGTATGAGCTGTGGTATGATATGGTACGACAGCGGAATCTGGCCGGTTCTCATATCAATCACGGGCCAGTTTTGGGCGTAATAGTACTCGTATTCCCGGATGCATTGGTAAGGTAAACACTGGCGTCAAGTCCGGATATCCCTGTGTACCGAGATGGGGAATATGTCAAGTTCCTTACTACCTACCGCACTGTGCTCGAGTAGACTACAGGTGATGGGGAGGTATCATACCAATCGCTAGGCAGGGTGCTCCTGCCGTCCGACGACCTTGGACCTCTTTATTATTCTCATGAGAGCACTGCGGGTAGGGTTTTTATGGCTACTACCGTTGTGCATGGGACTAAACGAAGGGTATCATGCTTCCTCATGGCGTTTTACTCGTGGATAAATAATGATATGGTACAATTCGAGTACTCTTATCAACGGAGCAGAAATCACCCGTGGGGGGAAAAGCTCTGATTGGTCTGACAAAGAGAGTAGTACTCGACCGATTTGTCTCCTTTCCATGCTTCATTAACACGCTAGGTACATACACCGACTCTGACATCACTGTATATCCTACTATACCAAACTGCCGTACCGTACCAAATTGGTTACCTCTCCTCTCCATCGTAGTAGGAATAGAGATTTATGCAGGGGGGGGGGCCGGTAGAAATGGGGTTTTCAATTTCTAGTTGATACCCGTATTGACGATGTGAGCATGGGGGCTTTTGAAAGCTTCCTCATTATTCTAGAAGCTCTCTTTCTCTTTCTCTTTCTCTTTCTCTCTTCTCTCTCCCTCTGGAAGATTCTGGCATCGGAAGAAGGTTCCGACGAACGGCGGAATATAGCGATATCTTGGAAACTCAATGGTTGCCGTCTGATACTGTACGTACAGTCAGCACTGGTCGGCCGATGGCCCAATGGGTGATGTTGTGTGATCACCACAGTTGCTGTTGGGTGGGCTAATGGGAAGATCGTGATAGGCTGCACGAGGAAGGGGGTTATTATTGCTTGGTCACTCAACTGTACGAGTATCAGGGGGAACACCCCAAGGGAAATGATCATCTTTTTCTTTTTTTTTTTCTTTTTCACACGACAATCTTCTCCATCCAGTCTCACCTCCAAGTTTCTATCTACCATTTCCGCCATGATACCTCGTTCCCACTCTTGACAAAAACGTCCTCGCGAGCACTAAATTCCCACTGTCGCCGTAGTCTGGAATATCACCACCTGGCGCCTTTTCGACTTGTTATTAGTGATTTCGTTTGCTATGATATCCATACCGTATCTGCTACTACTAGAATCATGTGATATCACTCGTAATTTGTTTCCCCCTGTTTGTTTGGTATGATAGCTGCTCTGGATGAAGCGTGGTCGGAATCCTCAACAGACTGCTGGTGTTTGCTATGGACTTAGTCAGCGGCACCGGTGCTTGGCGAGCCTACTTTCCAGGGGAAAATGGTCTACCCATTCTCATAACAATGCGGCGGAGGTCCAAGATAGATCCAAGGTTGTTGTTTGCTGCAACCCTAACCCATTTGGCTGTAATGACATCACATCCGAGTGGCAGGAAATCATTTGGCCAAATCAATCTCGGCTGGTGGTTCGAAACTGCAATACCAATGAGCACTAAGTGACGTAGCTTCATGTTGTGGACCTCTCACCGCTTTCTCCTTCATCGCACCTAACACAACACAACCCCAAACGCCTGAATCACCAATACTACCTGGGAAGAAGAAGAAGGAAAAACATCCCATTGATTTCTAAAAAAATGCTTTTAAAAGATACCATCAAAACCATTGTCCGGGACGAAGTAATAGGGGTCACCGCCCTCGCAAAAGAACCCGCCGCCACAGGGGCCTATCTGTACCCGCTGCGTGGGATTGCATACTTCCTTACGCACCGTGCCATCTGGAAACCCCTTACCTCGCGTCTTCTCCCATTGTTGACACTAAGCACCGGGGTAATCACGTCAATGTTTCTTTTCACCTACATCCCGCAGTCCTTCCTGCTGACATTCGTCAATGGGCCCGTTGCATGGATATCCACAATTGCTCTCGTGTTGAGCGAGTCCGCGGTGATCATCACTGCACTCAGCAGAGCCTTCCTGATCGATGAGGCGTTGGTGGACATTTTTGATGGAGTGTTGCTGTTGGAGGGTATGAGTGTGCTTGTGAAAAATGGAAGGAAATTAGAGGCCGGAAATGGGGTTATGGGAAAACTAGGGGCGTTGGTGAAGAAGCCATTAGAGAAGCTCACTGTCAAGAGCTTGGTTAGCTATTTGATTTGGCTGCCGGTCAATTTCATTCCCATAGTTGGAACTGTTGTATTCATTTTTGTTCAAGGTTTGTTGCTGAGACTCCTGGAGGGGCAGTTGTGATGTGATAACGTTTTTTTGGAAACAGGGAGGAAGCTAGGACCTACTTACCACGCCCGGTACTTCCAGCTCAAAAGCTATTCCAACCAGCAGAAGAATGCGTTTGTTGAAAGGAATATGCCTGCTTATATCGGGTATGCCATGCTCCCTATCTGAGTCGATAGGCCACTAGTAATTTTGTAGTTTCGGCACGGCTTCGATGCTATTACAATTAACTCCTATCGTCAGTATCTTATTTTCGTACACAAACACTGTTGGTGCGGCATTGTGGGCAGTTGATATCGAGAGGGGGAATCGCCCTGCGGAAGGAAAGAGGGTTGGGGGTATCGTCGCTGGTGGTGAGAAGGAGTTGTAATGAATGGGATGTTATGCATGGTTTTGGGACTCGGTTGATCTTTCGAATTTCTAGAATCCGGGGTAGCTACCAGACACCTTACCAAATGTCTTGTTTTTCGGGGAGTTACATGTGGGCTCACTTTGCGATATTATCACAATTGAACTGTGCGTTCGGTGCTGGTCGTTGTGTTTGGGTGGGCAAGACACAAAGTTTGTCGCTTGGTATCATGGATAATTGCTTCATACGCATATTTATTGCCATGGGGAACGAGAAGATATAAAGTATGAATTTATACCTCATCGACTAACATTTTGTTGAGCAATCATCCAACGCTACTCCCTAGTTTGTGGAAAAGCTCCTCGAGGTGCAAGTTTGAGTGTTGTAATGCATGTACTGTACCGGTACTCGGGAATGGAGGTTAGTGATGAGACAGACAGGGCCCAGATGACCGAAGTCATTTGTGAATGGCGCGGGAATCGGTAGACATGCCATCGGCCATACTCGGGTATGGAAGTAGGTGATGGGACGGACAGGGGGTTTTGAGTCCGGGCGTAGTTACCGCCAGAGGGAAAAATTGATTTACGGTAATTTGGTGGAGCGATGCCAGGAATGGTAGGAAGCTTTGACATCGTCGAGCCCCTGTCCATCTCATCACCTACCTCCATACTCTACTTGTACCCGTACAGTAGTACGTACCCTTGTCTGTCTCCTCACTAACCTCCATATCCGAGTATCTCCAACCAACTCCACAGAAGTAACTCACCCTTTCAACTCTCCAATCCGTCTCGACTCCAATCGCAGAAATAGTGAAATAGAGGAAAAATGTTTGGAAAGTGAGCGTTTTGTATGCTAGCCCCCAGAGCAGTACCCCTCTTTATGAACTATGCTGACTGTAGGAGGTTCTGGGGCGTGATGACGCCAAACAATCTTGCGTGTAATCAAGGTTGATTGACTCTTTGAAGTTGTGCATTGCTTCCGCAAGGTCGGGTCGGAGGTACGTGCACTATAATGTTCAGACTTGTCCTCTGGTCTGTGCTATTTTGAGCCCTGTGAGTACAGTACTGTACAACGAGAAGGCACAATCTACTCGTATTTCGGCGTGGCGAGATTCTCGCACCGCAAGTACCCGCACGGAGCGTACGCACCACAAACAATTCTGATCTTGTAAAGACTTGCCAATTCTCGCGGCGCCGGAACTAATTGGGGGAAGTGAGGGGTAAACCGGGTATCACGCATAATATTATTGTGGGTGGGACGGGGGTTGAGGTTGCGCTTCACGTATCCCGAATAAGGCGAGGTTCCTTCGCCGGTAATGACAACGTAGTCTGGATCACGCCTCAACTCTGTGGATAAGATTGTTTGCATGTTCCCAACTCAACCTGACAAAATGGAGTTTAACCCACAAACTACACACCATCGAAGACTCTGGCACACACTCGAAATCTTTTATCGTCTGGTTCGAATAATCCTTTAATGAGGACTCGAGGTTACTTTTGTTTCGATTATTCATCAACGGGCAGGCTCGTTCCATGGCTTTGTGGCATCACCGTCCTGTTGAGGGGGTTTGGATCTGATATACTCGTAGGAGCGCCTGTTACCCGTCTGATCGAACTGGCAGTATGCCGCCAATATCTCGGCATCCACAACCCCGACCTGATTGACAAAGATGGCTATGTTGATGAAGTTCACTGCAAAGTGGATGATGTCCAGGTGGAGATGGCGTTGATACTTGGGGTTGCTGGGCTTCTAAGCGCGCTTGTCGGTACGCGTCAGACCACTTTCTTCAAAGCCTTTGGTGTCTTGGGTTCTCTCTTGGTGTTCAGACATACGGGTTAACGCTGAGCGACAGAGCTATTGGTGTCTATGCCACTGGGGATTGTGGCAGATAGAAGAGGCAGGAGATTTGCGCTGATACTTAATGTTGTGGGAGGACTGTGTTATTACTTGTGGGTCGTTATCGTTTGTCAGTTGCACCTGCTGCCTGATATCCAAGATCTTGCTCACTCAGTCTGCACCTCGGAAAAGGTGTATTCTACGACCTTTTCCCGCCTAGAATATTGGTTACCTGCTCATTATTCTACGGCATTGGTGGAGGGCCTCACATGTTTTCTGCCTTCATCCTAGCTATGATTGCAGATGTTACGACTGAGCAACGAAGGTTTGGGGGCCCTTGTGGTTTATGCGCAATCATGTCTAATGAGACTATCCGTACGCCTCCAGGACTCGCCACTTCTACGTCGTCCAATCTATTGTACAAGTTGTTCAGCTAATATCTCCGGCTGTCGGCTCTCTGTTTTTGGGCATCGGGTTGTGGATACCGTTTTATGTAGGGCTTTCTGCGATGGTCGTGCTCATAGGGGTGGTATCTATCATCCCAGAGACTGCTGCTTCTCCCAGAAACCCTGCACCTTTGCCAGCTGAACAGGATCCCTTGCTTGGTTGTTTAGCCCCCAGTCCTTTCATACCCACCATTTCGCCGGGGCATACAGAGCGAACTGTGGTCACCAATGAGCATGAACTCCCGCTTGCACATCCCATGCTTCTGAGCCGTGCTCAACTTCTCAACCTGGCGTCGCGTCAACCTATTATTCCACTTTCTCTCGCCACTTTCTTTTTCTCAAATCTCTGTCGTGGGGCATTGAGTGTGCTGCTGCAGTACGTCTCAAAGAGATACGGCTGGTCACTTTCTCAGGAAAGTTGAACTTCAGTTCCAAACCACTAAATGCTAACTCCTTGATTAGGCCGGATTCTTGATTTCATTGAAAGCACTCTCCAGCACTATCCTGTTTTTGTTCATTCTACCATACCTCACGCTCTCCCTGACGGCGTCTTGGGGCCTATCCACCCAAAACGCCAATGTATTAGTGGCAAAGATAAGCATCAGCTTACTAACTATAGGGTCTTTATTAATCGGCCTAGCTACCACTGTATCATTACTGATAATTGGTATGATAATGGCTCAAGTTTTCTTTCGTGTTGTTAACTCACGTTGATAGCTCTATTCATCATGTCTTTGGGATTCGGGTTTGGGACTGTGGTGCAATCTATTGTCACTTCAATTGTACGCAGAGACCAGGTTGCTCGGCTCTACTCTGCTATATCTGTCGCTGAAACTGCAGGCACTCTGGTCGGTCAGCCCTTGCTAGCACTGGGGCTTGCTGTGGGGTTCCGATCAGGTGGTCTAGCGGTTGGACTTCCATGGTTTATGTGTGTAGTGAGTGGGCCTTTGCGTGCACATGCGCTCCCCCTAGCTAGTTTAACAGTATATACTGTCTTCAGGTGATGTACGCCATTGCTGCGCTTCCCGTTTGGTGGATGAAGGCGGAAAGCTCAGTACCCGCACATCTAGTTCCTCAACATTAGGTTGGGGAAGGACAGGAAGGACATTAATACGACACAAGTTGGGAAATTGATAGAATATTATTGGCTCAGATATAGAAATGAGTAAGAACCTCTAACTAGAAGTAAGCGAAACATTTTTCTGAGTATTTGCAAGCCCATAAAATAAATTCAAACTAGATTCGACAGAAAAATCCAGGACATGCAACCAATTTATCATATCAAAATACACCTTCCAGTGTGACCGGAGCTCGATAGTCGCTTGATTTCTCAAATGTTAGTATATATGCTGACGAGTGGGAAAATGGTCTCTCGTACCGCTCCCAGGCCGACCTCCATAACCTCTCGCAAATTAAACGCGTTACTTACAACCTTGACAGACCCAACAGATACGAGCAGGCCACAACTTGGAATTATCCATCCTCTCGTGGCACCCAAAGGTCCACACAGACTCCACAGCTTGCGTAGGTTCCGTTTCAGGGGTGATGGGCAGTGTGATGCTGACTCTGCCAACAGTCTTCTCGACCCCGTGCGGCGCTTCGTGGATACCATCGCCAAGCACGGTCAGGCCCACCAGGTCTCCAATCCCCAGCTCAACCAGCAACACGTAGAGCTCTCTCACGAAATCCTGGTCGAACGAGATCTTCGGGAAATTCTCCACAGCGGGAGGATTAAACCCGAACTCGATGGGGTAAAGATGGCCGCTAGAGTACGCCCAAGATCTGGGAACTACTTTGCCGCCGAACACCGAGTCCCCATTGGCCTCGGGTACAAGCCACGGCGTGGTTACGCTCCCGAACTCCACTAGCTTCTCCTCTGGTGTCATGTCAAAGTGTTTGTGCAAGACCATGACCCCGAGGGTCCTGTGGACGCCATAACGGATGAAAAGAGATCTTTAAGTTGATTTTGGGGGATTTTTTTTCCAGTCAGGGCATGATTTCTCTCAAACATGTGAACGGGCAGGGAAGGGAAATCTTTTTCAAAAACAGGGGACTGGTTCGTATACAAACCTGACCTCCCCTAACATCTCTTTAGCTACGGCCTTCTCTTCGAGGCTTCTATAAGCTTCATCTATGTGGTGTAATTGAGCAAATACTTCGGGGTGGTATGGGTGGGGAGTGTAAACGGCGGCAACCATTGCTTGTTTCGAGATGAAAGAGTGGAGAGGAAGTCGCAGTGGTAGTAGTGGTAGAAACCGAGCAAATCAGAGAGAAGGCGAATTGGAGCAAGGAAGAGGGAATAATAGGAATCTGCCGTTTCCCTTTTCTATCAGAAGAAGAGGTAGAGCAGATAGATAGACAGGTGCCTGATCTTCCTCACTTTCCTTCTTCCCATCCCTCATCTATCCATCATTGGGGAGTTTATATAATTCAGGAGGAATCCTGCCCTGACCAAGACAAAAGTCTGCCTGCCATTTGGGTTTAAACCAAAGAAAGGCCTCTCACCCCCCCCCCCCCGACTGCGGAGGCACGGCCACCAACGAGATTCAAACAAGTTTACTTTCTCTTTTTTCTTCCCCTCCATACTCACTCTTCCCACCCCTTACACCTATCCCATCCCCTAATAAACATATCCCTCCCTCTTCCTCCGCACGAAAACCCTACTCAAACCCTATCATCATCTACTAACTCCCCAGCGAATGACGCGGAAGACAAACGAAACGAAAAAAACAGAGATCTCCTAATAGTAACGATAATTTCTTCCGAAGTTGACATGCTGGCCGGAGCGAGGGGGGCGAGGGGGGGGCAGAAGTCTACATCACCGTGAAATATTTGGTGGACAACTCCCTCCTACCTGCACACGAACCCGACAGCTCTGGAAAAAAGACCAAACACCGGGATATCCTCCGACCCCCCCCCGTGCAGGAAAGAAGGCGGAAAGAGGGGTTAGCCTTTCTTTTTTTTTTCTGAAAAAAAAAAAAAAAAAAAAAAAAATAGCCATTCATGCTCTTAGTTTGGCTTCCATTCTTTAAAAAGGGGGGAGAGACTGATAATGAGCCTGATGTGTCTGCATATATGCAAGGACAGAACGACTATAGGTGCGAAAAGAACAAGCTGGCGGTCGAACCGGGTGGAGCTAAACTTGATTTAAAATTGCTTGGTGGATCGTGCTCCGGAGGGAGAGTGGAGGTGAACGACGAGAAGGAGAAGAGGGCGAGTGAGCGAGAGAGTTTGTGCGAGTGAGAGAAAGTGCCTGGCAGACAGAGAGATAGACGGACGGGTGCGTGCGCATGGTTAACCTACTTACTTATACCCCCTTCCAAGCAAGCAATTGTCATACGAGTTGAGCATAAGCAAGAAACACGGGAATGGGGGTTTGGGCACCATGCACAACGAATACTTGGTCCGGGCTTGACGTTGCCTGCGATAGCATTCCTTTGACATCGCGATATCAGACGACTTTGACATGATACCTCTTCCGGGAAGACATGTCAAACGTACCTACATACCGCACACTACCACGTTATTCCAGGATACTAAACGGACAGGTGAAGAAAACAGTGAGGCAACGCCATCCCCCACCGAAAAGCAGACTTATTTGAAATAATCCTCAACCACCCGAAATATTTGGGGTTCCAAAATTGCGCAGATAACCCCAGTTGTCTCTGGGAATTACCTACATAGCTTTTAGAAATTTCTCATCAAGTGCGTCAACATCTATGGCGGGAACTGGAGTTTCCTGACGACACAGTCCTGTGTTGCCATGTCCTCGTGCAGTGGCCCAGAGGCCTACCTGAAATAACAGGTAAGTTAGAGTGGGAACGATAATAATGTTTCCAAAACATAAGGAGATAAAGCCGCACAGCGATGGGACCAGTGTATGAAGTTATTTTCACCCCAATGCCAACTCCCGGTTGGTACCAATATGTGAAGGTTCCCTACTCTGGCGGGCAAAGTCTTGTCCCACTATTCTCTTGACTTGTGTGGAAAAGCTCAACAAACCCCCCTTTTACTGTATAGTACACTTCCGATTTACTGTGGCCGTCTAACCGCGTGATGCCAAAGTTTTACAATCTGACAAGGCACTTTCAACAAGGATCGCCACCTGAGCACTGGCTAGGATCACCGCAGGATCAACAGGCAACCTTCTCGACGGGGGTCGGATCATCAGGGGGGGCACAACCACGATAGCAAACTCAACACCCCATGCCTCCCCTCCCCCTCCCTTCATCAATACAATCATCGATAGGATAGCCCCAACAAACAACCTCAACCTAGAGGTGAAGAGGCGGGTAAAAAAAAAGTGTAGTTCCGAGAAGCCCCCCCTCCCCCTTCCCCACCTAGAGCTGTTAATTCAACCCCACGAAATCTATTAACACGACATATCATACAACTAAGAATTAGCGAGGGAAAGGAGCAGAAAGGAGCGAGCGAGGCCTTCTCAATCGATCGATCAAACGCCAATCAGTAAATGGCTATTGCTGCGCGCACAAGGAGAATAAGAACTGAGGAATCGAGAATCCCATATGGTTGCCCCCGCTTTTTCCCCACACCTGATTCATCGATCTGAGACATGGAGCTGTCATGCATGTTGATCCTCCACCTCCACCTTTTTTTTTTTCTTCCTATTTTCTTTTCCTGCTCATTCTTTTTTTTTCTCATTCGGGGTTCTTTTTTTCTCTTCGGAGGAGAGGTACCGGTAATGTATTGTGTGTTTGGGTGAGGTGCTAGTGGGTGGATAGTTACGGCAAGGCAAAGGTACTCGGAGATGGTAGTAAAATCGAGTTTCTCAACCGATCCTGCTGTTGCTAGGGAGCACTTGGCCAGGCCAGAATTATGAAAAGGATTGGCATATTAGAGGAGCTAAGTACTTGGACTAAAACGAGGAAGGTGTAAGCCGAGGAATGATGATATACACTGCTGGACCAACCACAAGGCATTATAATGTTGTATTAGAACTCCGGTATACTATAATAGTAATCTTATAATCTTATACCTGGTGGAATGAGGGGCTCTGTACATGATGTAGAATATAGCCTATTCAACTGCTTTCTTATAACTATGAAAGAGGTATAGCTGATCGATTATTTAAAATTATGTAATATTTTAAACTTCAAATACAGTAAACCCTCCTGTAATGCCAACCACTCAAACTTCCAACCTTCCATACTTCCAGTATTGTATAAGAACAGGTTTAGTGCTATGAGGATTTCCTTCGCAACTTCTAACCCTCCAATAATTCCTATTTCCAGGAAATAGATCCATCATAATTCCAGAAATTAAAGCTAAAATTGTAGATGAGTCTATAGTTCAGGTCACCATTTTGTCCTACTTTTGGGCTTCTTTTAAGTGGTTATTTCTGTAAACACAGGACAATTGCCAAACAGGTATCTACGTCATAATAGCATTATATTTAAGTGATAAGCCAACACCTCTCCTAAATTTAATAAATAATAAAATAATAACTA